AAAGGGAGAGAGAAAGGGCGGAGGGAAGGAGGAGAGAAAGGATGAGGACGTGAAATCACTTCCTGTCCTACATTTCTGCTTCGCCAAGATCCGGTGTGGCTTGGAAAGGAGGGAAGGGAAGGGGAGGGAGGGGGAGGGGGGTAGGCATGCAAGGTCGGCCTATGTGGGTTCGTGGGAATTGAAAAAAAACGAGAAGAAAGAAGAGAAGGAGAGGAATAGAAGACAATCACAAATGGGGACGTTTTTGATACGTACGCACACACACACACACACACACACACACACACACACACACACACACACACACACACACACACACACACACACACACACACACACACACACACACACACGCACACGTCTATATACATATACAGAGAGAAGAAGAGGAGGAAGAGAAGGAGAAGGAGAAGGAAAAGGAAAAGGAAAAGGAGAAAGCGAGACATAGCAAGACACAGACAGACAGAAAGGGAGAGGGAAGGCAGAGGACAGAGACACAGGGGCAGATACCGAGTACCAAAGAGGCCCCTATAATGGCCGTTTAGGTATCACTGTCACATCTCCCGAATAGTATTCTCGTCACTGTCCCCTCACCGCGATCACTATCATCCCCGACACTGTCACCGCCATCCTCGCTTCTTGCAAAGCCCTAAAGTTGACCTACTTATCAGGGGAGTAAAAGTGCGACCTTGGATCGGAGCAGACGAGGTAACAATCCTGACCTGCGCGTGCCCTGGGCATCTATTTACGGGTGCTTGTGTTTAGGTGTGTGTTTAGGTGTTTTTTTTTTTACGTGTGTGTGTGTGTGTGTGTGTGTGTGTGTGTGTGTGTGTGTGTGTGTGTGTGTGTGTGTGTGTGTGTGTGTGTGTGTGTGTGTGTGTGTGTGTTTGGGCGCGTGCATGTGTGTGCGCATGTACGTGTTTTTTTTCAAGTGGTGGCCGTAAATCCTCCCCACCTCCCCCTCCCCCCCAACGCACGCAAGTCGTGGCGTAAAATGGACACCATTAACCTTCGTGTTTGACATTCAAAATCTCTCTCTCTTTCTCTCTCCAATTTTCCTGCATCTATTTCGGTCGCGTTTGTCTCACCCATTGAAAAGCCCTTCTCGATGCTGTGGGTATTTTGCTCACGCGCAGGTCGTTTCCCGGCGCAGGTATCCCTTTGAATTGGCGATTAAATGACTTGACCCCAATTTGGCCGAGGGACAGGGCGCTATGCCATGTCTGACGGCGGCTGCGTACCCGACACCTGGCCAACTCGCAACCTTCGCGATCTGTGTCACTTTTGTCTGTTTGTTTCCTTTGCTGGTGGTGGTGTTTTCGATGTTGTTGTTGTTGGTCATCATGAATAAGTATGTGTTGTGGGGATGTATTTCTGTCTTTTATTTTTGTTTGTGACGATGCGTTTTTTTTTCCTTTTATTCGATTCTCTTCCTGTTGTATGTTTATTGTATTTATTTATGTATTTTTAGTTTTAAGGGGGTGGGTGAGCCGTGTTGCAAATATGCCTCCCCCCCCCCAAAAGGCGTTTAGGGCTGGTCGTGGCGTACAGAGAGACCTCCCTCCCTCCCTCCCTTCTCCCCCTCCGCTCCCTACCCAGTTCCCCACCCCTGCCCTCCGTTCCCCTCCCCTCCCCCACCCCTGCCCTCCGTTCCCCTCCCCTCTCCTCCCCTCCCCTCCCCTCCCCTCCCCTCCCCTCCCCTCCCCTCCCCTCCCCTCTCCTCCCCTCCCCTCCCCTCCCCTCCCCTCCCCTCCCCTCCCCAGCTGGCCGGCCGAGCGAGAGACACTTTCTCCAGAGAGCGAGAAAACTTTCGGCTTCGTCCAAAGAGCAAAAGCAGGCAGCGAGGAGCGGGGGCGCCGTCGTGGGGCTCTCGAGTGGCCGCTGCGATGCGATGTTTTTTTTTTTTGAGGGGGGTGGGGGGTGGAGGGTAGGGTTGCTGGTTATTGGATTTATGGTGATGATTTGATGCGTCTATTTTTCTTTTTTCTCTTTGTCTGTCTTTCTCTCTATCTCGGTCTGCCTCTCTCTCTCTCTCTCTCTCTCTCTCTCTCTCTCTCTCTCTCTCTCTCTCTCTCTCTCTCTCTCTCTCTCTCTCTCTCTCTCTCACTCAATCAATCAGATGGGTAAGAAAAGACAAGATTGATTGGATTAATCTCGGGTACTCTTGCCTCCTTCAGGTGTCGGAATTGGTACAGGAAAATTGCGAGTTATTATTATTATTTTTTTTTCTTGCGGTGTTTTGCAAGAATGTTAATCACTCCTGGATTCCCAAACGCATCAACCCCTACCCCCTCCCCTCCCCCTTCCCGCCTCTCCTAGAACGGTGATTTATTTTTCTTATCAATTCCAATTTCGGATATGAGGGAATGGGGTGCAGCGTCATGCGGGACTCGAGGGCGCAGACTAAACGGTTCCTCGACGCGGCCGTCTGCGCCTCTGAGGGAAAGGGAACTAGGCTCGGGGAGGAACGAGCGCAGACGTCGATGCCCCTGCCCCTTCCCCTGCCCTTGTCATTACCTTTGCTCCTGCTCCTGTCTCTGTCCCTGTCCCTGCTCCTGTCCCTGTCTCTGATCCTAACTCTGCCCCAGTATCTGCCTCTGCTCCTTCCCCTTCCCTTCTCCTTCCCCATCCCTTGCCCACTGCCCCCTACCCCCTGCCCCTCCCCCTTCCCCTTCCCCTTCCCCTTCGCCATCCCTTGCCCACTGCCCCCGCCCCCCTGCCCCTCCCCGCGCCGCCTTTGCTACGACGTAACGACCTTCACTCTCACCAGCGACGACCGCCGCACCTGCCCCGCACACGCCATATGGCTGTGTCCGCCCCTTCGCCGCGCCACACGACCGCCGCCACAGCCACGCCACAGCAGACGACCCCCCTCCCCCTCCCCCCTCTTCTACACCTCCCCCCCTTTCCCCTCTTCTACACCTCCCCCCTTCCCCCTCTTCTACACCTCCCCCCTCCCCCCCCCCCCTCCCCCCTCCCTCCCCCGTGCTCGTCTGCGTTGAAGTCTCGGGCTTTCTGTTTACACACAAATTACCATGATTAGTGATTGCAATGTTGATTACTATGCTTTCTCCCCTCTCCCCCCCCCCCCCCACCACGCTGTGATCTTTGTTCTCCCGCTCGTTTCGTTCCTTATCTATCGGAGTTTTGCGTATTTATCTATCGTTTCCTGAGGTATTGTCTTTCTCGTATGTGTGTGTTCTTTTATGTATGGATGTGTGTGTGTGTGTAGGCCCAATGGGTGTGTATGTGTGTACGTATCTGTGTGCGTGTGTAGGTGTAAGTGTGTAGATGTACGTGTGTGTGTAGATGTACGTGTGTGTGTACGTACCTGTGTGTGTAGATGTACGTGTGTGTGTACGTACCTGTGTGTGTGTACGTACGTGTGTTCTGCGTGGCGTCAGCATTCACACGGACTTTCTCCGGCCAGCCCTGCCCAGCATGATGAATCTTCTCTTGCAGGTTCCCTCGCCTTTAAACGCCATTATGACACTTTCTGTTTTATTCCTTAGGGTCTTTCCGCTCTAATATAAATTCTTAATCTTATTCCCCATTCATTAAATTTGTTTTTTATCCCCTCCTTTCCTTAAGTTTCTGTCCAGGTAGACGAGGAGGCGAGAGAGCAGTTGGCTGAGGAGGAGGAGGAGGAGGAGGAGGAGGAGGAGGAGGAGGAGGAGGAGGAGGAGGAGGAGGAGGAGGAGGAGGAGGAGGAGGAGGAGGAGGAAGAGGAGGAAGAAGAGAGAGGCAGATAATCTCTCTTTTCTTGTTCCCTTCGCTTCAGTCTCATTATTGTGTTGTGCCGTGTTCAGCGTGCCCACAGATAGAGCCAGGTCGTGTGAACGTGTGTGTGTGTGTGTGAGAGAGAAGTGGGGGGTGGGGGGAGGGCATGGGGGATGGGGGGGAGGGATGGGGAGTTGTGCGTGTGGGGTTGTGTGTGTGCGTGTGTGTCTATTGGCTATAGTGTGAGAAACTCATTATTTACATGTTATGATAACCGATTATGACCCGATTTGTATTTCCACAGAACATACCTTTACATTTTATATCAGTAACCCATCCTTCACCGTTTTCATTCCCACACCTTTCATTCCTCCTCCTCCTCCTCCTCCTCCTTCTCCTCCTCCTTCTCCTCCTCCTCCTCCTCCTCCTCCTCCTCCTCCTCCTCCTCCTCCTCCCCCTCCCCCTCCCCCTCCCCCTCCCCCTCCCCCTCCCCCTCCCCCTCCTCCTCCTCCCCCTCCTCCACTATCTCCTTTTCTTCCTCCTCTTATTAACCTCCCCCTCCCTCTGTTCCACCTCCTCCTCCCCCCCTCCTCCCCCCCTGTTGCTGACCTTGCCCATCCTTCCCTTCACCATGACCCACTTTTCCTTTATCCTTTCTGCCCCTTTCCTCTTTCTGCGTCGCTCTCTTCGCCTCTCTTACTCCCATGCTCTAATGCTCGCTGTCCTCGTAAGGATTGTGTCTCTTCCTTCATGAATTTCTCCTTTTTCTCTTTCTGCTTTCTTTCGGTCCATCTTTCTCTCTCTCTTTCGGTCCATCTCCCTCTTTCTATCTTTCTCTCTCTCTCTCTCTCTCTCTCTCTCTCTCTCTCTCTCTCTCTCTCTCTCTCTCTCTCTCTCTCTCTCTCTCTCTCTCTCTCTCCCCCTTCATTTTCCCTTTTCCTTCCCTCCTCTTTCCCTAGTTCCTTCTTCCTTCCTTCCTTTCCCTCTCCCTTCCCTCCATTCCCCTTCCTCATTCTCTTTCCATTCCTTGCTCCTTCCCCTCTCCTACCCTCCTTTCCCTCCTCCTTCCCTCCTCATTTCCCCCCCTTCCCTCCTCCTTCCCTTTCCTTCCCCTTCCTTCCCCCCTCCCTTCTCTCTCTTCCCTCCCTTCCCCTTCCTTCCCTCTTCCTTTTCTCTTCCTTCCCCTCCACATTTCCCTCTTCCTTTCCCCCCTCCCCTCCTCTTGCCCCCCCCCCTCACCACCCGGCATGTAAGGCTAACCCGCTGTCATCATTTTATAGGGCAGCGAATCATCTCACGGCTCGTCAATGAACGGGACCCGGTTTAACAGGACCACGGTAAGTACGAGGGGGGTTTCCTTCATTAAAAAAAAAATATAAATATGTATATCTAATAAAAGGAAACCTTCATGAACCCCCTCTCTTCTTCCCCCCCCCCCCATCCATCCCACACCCCCCGCCTGTCTCTTCTGTTATTATTGTGTTGCTCATCCTAATTAATTTCTTCTCCCCAACACTTTTCTTTTTTTTTTTCTGAACACCTCCTCCCCCCCGCTGCAGCATCGCCAATATCCTCGGTCTTTGTAATGCTGTCGCTGTGTCTGCCTTTTGTGTTTTTGCTTGTCGGCTTTTATTTCTCTTGTTTTTGTATTTTTTTAATCTTAATTTGTTCCTTTTTTTCTAAATAGACTTTTTTTTTTAGATTTGTTCTAGTTGTTTTGTCTGATAAAATCCGCCCAACCCTTTTTTTGTAGTGAAGTGAGTAGTGTTTTTTTTTTAACTGTTTGTAGTACTGTGTTTTGTCAAAGAGGACGTGGGTGGGGTGGGGGTGGGGGGAGGCATGGGTGGCGAGGGAACCCTGGGCAAAGGGGTTAAAGTGCCACTGTACCTTAAACTTTATAAAAGGTGCCAAGGTGTCACTATTTTCCTGGGGTTTTCATGTTCCACGGTGCCACGCTCTCTGGGGTTTAATGTGCCACCGTGTCACTTTTCTGGGTTTAATGCCACCGTGCCACACTTTTTTCTGGGTTTTAATGCCACGGTGCCGCACTTTCTGGGTTTAAAGTGCTGTGTAAAACGCTGCTAGCATCCCTTTCAGGCTTCTTAGAGGCGGCGATCTATCCTAAAAGCTTTCTCTGATGCTGCTGTCTTATAATATCCATTGCCACGCGAGGCACTGCAACGCTAACAAGGCTGGGTGCCGCCAGCATCCGCAAAGCTTTCTAGGACATCCTCAGAAGTATCTCGGAGACTGGGTGGGGCCAGAGGGAGGGTAGGGGGGGTAATGGAAGGCGAAGGATAGGGGAAGAGGGAGGGAGGGATGGAGGGAAGGGAAGAGGGAGGGAGGGAGAGAGGGGAAGAGGGAGGGAGGGAGAGAGGGGAAGAGGGAGGGAGGGGAGCAAAGGAAGGTTAGGAAAGTGTACTATGATTGCAGGAGAGCTCACAAAAGGGTCAAAATCCAAGTGGGGCATTATCACTGAATGTACAAATGAATAAATTCATTAAAAACAGATAATGATAATAAATGTATAAGGCAAATAAATACACAATCATAGTACTGTCAGGGATCCACTTGGGGTTGATATTCAGTGAGCCAAAAGGACTGGCGGAGATCTTTTAACGAAGGGAAAGAGGGAAAGACTCACGGGAGGGAAGCCAACTAGAATAGTCTTCATCTCCGGATATCTTTTGAGGATTCGTGGGCCGCTCAGACAAGCCCGTGGGAGCTACTTCTGGCAGTAACTTCTGGTATGCGTAGGTCCACCTGTGTCCTCTCGTGTGTGTTTTGTGTGTGCGTGTGTATTTTCTGGTACCGGTGGCTCTTGGCTTCTCGACGGACGAGAAACACTCAGAACGTCCAAGCACAAGGACTCCCAAGGTGGTCTCTCTTGTGCTTGAATTTCCCGAGCGTTTGTTGGCCCTAAAAAAACACCTTTTTTTAAATCCCACCCTGGAGCTGATGTATAGTTAACCTAGATTGTGATGTATTGCACCTTTTGGTATATAAATGTTTTTTTTTTCATCTTTATATGTTTTTTTTTTATGTCTTCCTTTCTTAAATGTGTTATTTTATGTTTTGTGTTTTGTTCATAGTTCGGTGAACGGTTGTAGTTCATATACGTTTAGTATTTTACCTTCCGTTATCTTTTCTTTTTTTTCTTTATTGTTTTGGTTATATTTTGCTACAGTAAAGTCAAAGTTTATATAGAGTTCTGTCAATTTTTATGAATCCCCTTTTTTTAAAAATCAAATGT